GGGACGGGACGCGCCGCGCTGCGGCTTTGAAGCAAGCTGAAACAATCATGGGGACCCGCAAAAAGACCCCCAGCACTCATCAAAGATTGAATCCCTTCGGGAAACCCCAGTAAATGGTGTGCTATACCTCTGTGTTTGCAAAGTTTTTGCATATCCCTAGGAAAAAACACTGAGAATGCGGAATTCTTTTCTATTCCAGTAAACGAGGGAATGCCTGTTTGAGAATTTTAGTAGCCCTGGCATTTATTAATGCTGTCCTGTTCCTAGGATGCAGCAAGAAACAGCTCCGACATGGCAAAAAAAGAGTTCATCCTTCCTTCTTGCCATGTCTTTGTTTATTGAGCGTCACACAATCTGAGGCTTCTGGCATATATCAGCTTTCATCAGTAGACAGAAAGCTCAGTAATGGCTGTTTGTGAGGGTGTTAGCAAGAGCAAGAGACAGAACCTCATAACCTCATTCCCTGTATCCCAGATCCTGCAGGGCAGCAAAAAAACAACCCCAACTTTTTCAACCATGCCAGAGAGATGAATCTGTATGGCATGACATTTCCTGCCGGAAAGAAACCCACAAATACTGCAGGTGTGAATCTTCAGGCACTGCCACAACTGCAGAGCAAGGTTTCAGTGGCAGTCATTGCCTGGCAAGGTCAGCTGTATATTTTCGAATCACATGTTTGAATGAATTTACCTTGTTAAAGGAAACTGTCCCATCCCAGGGCCTTATATTAAAGTTGAAGGAGGAGAGAGGAAGTAAGGTTTTGTTAATTCAAAGTCTCCTACTTGGAGACAAGTACAAGCTGAGGCACAGTGAAATTGATTTGTGATTTTTGCTGCAAAATGTACAGACAACCAGCTTGTTATGTTAGATAAATTTCTCCAGAATTTGTTGTCACATTAGAAGATTTCTAAATTGAAACTATTATGACTCAATGGCTTTAAAGAACTGAAAATTTTCCCCAAAACTCATTGCCATATTGCTTGAAAAAAAATCTTGAATAATAGTTAATATGTAGTACAGTCTATTCATATTTTGACATCTATAATGACTTCTCTGATAAGTAACTAATACTAGGGGATGACTAACAAGTATCAGTGTATATTTGACTTGGTTTTATCAGTGACCTCATTTGAATGACATCAACCTCATGACAAGGGTTCCGTTCAAAAGGACACTTTAGTGGCTCAGTGGCTCTTTGATACCATGAATTTTCCAAATGTTTACTTCAAATTGCAAACCAATTAACAACAAGGAATGTGAAGTACTTTGTCCTGTAGGTACTTCCCTTGCTCACTGTCAGAAGCTGAGGAAGGTGTAAAAACAGAAGAGCAGGCTCAGGTGACAACTCGTGACTTGTATTCTAGTGTGTGACACTTTCCAACTGGCACAAATGTGATGAAGCTTCTCCATCTGCATAAGAAGAGCAAACAGGCTCCCCTCACCCCCACCAATTTACTCTGCCTGTGTAATGAGGTCACTGTCCACTGGGGCAGGCCAGATCTGCAGCTGCTCAGTATCACCCTGTGCAGCAGCACAGTACCTGCATCTGGGACACTGCACAGCAGCAAGAAGCAATACTGGGCAGTTGTTCTTGCAAATGCAGGTACCTTGTGACAGCATCCTGACATTCTAGGACATCGCTGCGCACACACAGACCACAAACATACTTGCACTACCTTGGACCAACCTGGCTTGCTTATTGAAGTCAAAGTGCTTCTCATTGCCAAGTATTTCATCATGCTTCTGCTGTATTCGTTGCTTCTCATACCCACATAAGGCAAAATCAATGTAAAGCAAGTCTGAGAGCATGGACACACCAGTGGTTCCTCCCTGTGTGCAGCATAGAGTCTGTCTTCTGTTGTGTGTAGGGCAGACTTAAAGTTCAGCTTCCTGCTGCAGAGAAGAAAAATGCAGCCTGCCCAGCAAGACAAGGTGACAGATTCACTTCTTAGAAGAGAATGTAGGATAAATTAACTTCTTAGAATATGAGTGGTCAAGTCACGAGTAAAGGAGTCATCAGAAGAGGTGGTTACAAACTGTATTTCTTCCCAGAACTTTTATGTCAGATGACATTGCAGATGGAGTCATCTCTGGGTCAGGTTTAATATTAGAAATTAGACTGGGAGGTGGGGATGGAAGGTGGGGGATTGGAGTGTCCCTTAACAGACAGAAGGCTTTCCAGACAGGGAAATGGGGTTCTTCTATTAATCTATCCTGGGTCCTGCATCAGCAGGCAGAGTTTTCAACTCAGTCACTTTGATCCTATATTTTCCTGGAAAGAAGACAGTTTTGACACTGGTCAGTTCACTTCATTATTTCCAAGAACAACTCATGGGCCAATACGGAATTTAGCAGCCTAGAGGAGGTGCTCACTAGGAACTGAGGTTGGAGTTTGGTTTTATTTTGATTTGCAGGAACAAAAGAGACAAAACTCAGCAGAGAAGTAAATTAAAATTACATTCATTTTGAAGTCTAAGTAATGCTTTCTATTTGTACCATGTTTGGTTTCAACAAGCCAGACTTGCTTCTGCAAGCAAGATATGTGGGTCCTTTTGGGACTGTAAGGAAAAAAACAAAAATTGCAGGAAATGTTTTTTGCAAGATCAGTGGCATAATTATCTCTAGGTCTGTGTGCATCTCAAAGGTAGTTTCTTAAATGAATATGTATTAAGTAAAAATATTTTCAAGGGCATGCCACAGCTCCCATTTAAAATACACAATGGCTGATCTTGGAAAAAAACCCCCAAATTCACAGGGAAATGCCATAAAGAAACCAATGCTTTAAAGCACCTTTACACATACAGACATAATTTCTTTACTTTCTATTCTGAAAAAGAACCAATCGCACACTATAGTAAATGGGATTAATTATGAAAATCTGCTATGGACAAAAATATTTACTTATCCCTGACGGGTAATGTTTAGCAACATGGGGTGGTTTAAAAATAATTAAGAATTTAAGGAAAAAAAAAAAGGGTTGTGCATCAAACACCAAACTTAATATTACACACAGTGTATCTGCAAAGTGTGACTAAAGGTGAAACATTTTTTAAATACCTCTGATAATGAAAAGATTTGTTGTAAAATATGTCTTAGATGGCTTGAATAAAATACTCATTGTATGTGCACAAAACCGCTTTATTCAGCAGTAATTCTTGGATTTAGCCCTTGATGGGGTTGAGGTGCAGGAGGAGTGAAGGATTTGACAGCAGGGGAGCTGGAATCCATAACAAACACTTTTTTAACATAGGGCCATAACCACAATGTGATTTGGAATGGGAGAGCTGAATTTGATTATTTTTTTTCTGAGTGCCTGGAGTTACCACCACATGTGCTAATATTCTCATTTAAAAATGTCTTTAATGTGCAAGATGTTGAGGACAGATACTGCACCACGAAACTGCATGGCAGGTTTCACTTCGAGATTTGAGAATTCCCTTTTGTTAAGTGATCACACAGCACAGGGTGTTGTCTTCTCTCTTTCTGTCAGCAATTATGTCCTACTGTGTTTCCTCATTCTTTGCTGATTTGTACATGCTCAAGGCTTCTGGAATGTCAGCCTTGCAAGCACTCAGAAGAATGATCAAATACCCTTACCAGATGCTTTTGGAAAAGCTGCACATAACAATTTTGTTCCTGATTCCCAGCATGACAGTCTGTCTCACTTTTGCTCATTCATACTCTGAAAAACATCTGAAAACAAAGAACTTAAAATTTGTCACAGCGAATAGCAAACAAGAAAGAAGTTGCTTTTTGCATGCTTACTTTAAAAGTCATCAGCTATTTTTTAAAAAAAAATGTGTTTCTGAGGCATACATTAAAGCCCTTTTGCTCTGTAAAACTTTCTTCTCATACAATCTTGTTCTGAAATGGTGTGCTTTTTATCTCTCTGATAATTTCTTATCTTTCTTCTTTTTGCTGTTCTTTTTTTATGTGGCACACGTGGTGGTTCAGCTGGAAAGAGAGAAACTTCAAAAAGTATAAATTAGATTATAGATCATAAAAGCCCTAAATATTATTTGGAATAACAAGTTTTGGCCCTTCTTTCCAGAGAAACAACCTTACCTGTTGCTTTAAAAATCTCCCAGTCCAACTGAAACCCCATTTTTTCACCCATTTTAGATACACCTGTAGTCCAGCCAGGATTGTTAAAAGCTGCATCACTCAGTGGGCAGATTACAACATGACTTACACCAAACCTACCTTCTTTTTCATTTGGGTGGTTTCAGTGAAGATGAGTGGTACTTTTTGTGCACCTTTGTGTTGCTTACTGGCTGATACATCCCAATCAGAGGGACCGGAACTCGTACGTTTCCTTGTTTCTGTTGGCACCTGGGATTGCAATGATAGCTGAGTAAATACTGTGACAATCTTGTTCTGGATAGCTAGTTTTGATGTATGTATGTGCCAAGAAGAATCACTTACTGTGGTGAGTAAAACGTGTTAAGGCTGTGCTCGTGGGTAAAGTGGAAGTGCAGACCACCAGCTGGTGTAAACCCTGGTGGAAGCTAACACAGGCCTAGTCTAATGGGGCCTAGCTAGGCACCCAGCCCAATGCTTCCCACTTCCAGATTTTATATATCACCTCTAAAGCGTAAAGTTTGGGAAGATAGAACCTACAATTCCATTTCTCTGTTTTTTCTGGTTAAAGTGTCATAGACATATTTCTATGTGTCAGGAAAGGCATCTTAAATAGAAAAAAGACACCTTCAAAACCAACTCATACTGTAGGGGCTTAGAGCATTATTGCTTGTGGGTCATTCTACTTGATTTTGCCATGAAGAGACAACAATTAGATAATAATGAAACAAAGTCCACCAGTTGCTGGATGAAATTCAATTCTTGCAGACTAGTCTTTAGCCTTCTGCAACCTGGTGAAAACTGTGGTCCTGTGAATTTGGAATTGCTGTCAGACTTCCTTAAGCAGTAACACACATGCTGGAGGGACATGTACGTCATCTTGACACAGCCCACTGTGTTCCTGTTTCTGTCGTCCTCAGAAAGAGAGCTGGCTTTCATTTCCCAGCTTTTCCATCTGGCTGTCATTTGAAAATGAACACGGTAAGGTGTCGTGGTAATTTCAGTGCCAAAATTATATTTTTGTGACACTTGCTTACACATTTTTTAGACTTAGAGGTTAAGGTTAAAGACCTTGGAGGTCCTTTGCTGTTCCTCTCTCCAAGTCCCTAGGTTCAATGACAGTGCCTCTGGTACTGAATGGAAAGGCTCCATCAGGAAAGGACACAGGTTCCTGTTTTCATAAAGTGGAGCAGCATCACTGGGAGAGATTAAAATATTTCAGGCTGTTTAACTTCTAACTCTGTCTCTGATTTGTGGGGAAAATAATGGAATTTTTTTTACATGTCTAAGGATCTTTATGTGGCTATGATTTGTAAGCTGAAACAGCAAGGTGTTCAACAATGAGAAGACACTGATGCCCTGTAGGAGGGGTATGAACAACATGAGGACCAGCAGGGGACAGCTTGAGTTGAAATAGCTTCTCATATATCCTGACAGACTAAAGAATTTCCTTCCAGAAAAAAAAAATAATGCAAGTTAGGACAATAAAAAGAAACATAAAATCAACACAGTATAAACTGAAATTAGGATTAGTAGAAATTCTGAAGTATAAATGCTATAATTACAAGAACTGATAGTAAGGTTTTCTAGTACAGCAGAAACAGAGAGACTAAAAACCAGAGACTTTTTAGCTTATTAGAAGATAGAGAAACCCTGATACTGAAGAACTGATAGTAAGGTTTTCTAGTACAGCAGAAACAGAGAGACTAAAAACCAATCAGAGACTTTTTGAGCTTATTAGAAGATAGAGAAACCCTGATACTGTACATTCATCCTTTCATTTTACAATGATTTTTCCTGAGTAAGTTTGTAGACATATACTCCATGCTTATTATCTTCAAGCAATAGAGATATTGCAAAAGACAATTCCTATGAAATAAATAAACTCTGTTTAACAGTACATGTCAGGTAAGAAGACAAAAAGATAGATAGGGGTTGGCACTGAGTTTCAGCTTGAACTGAAACTTTATTCTGTAGCATTAAACAAACTCCTGAATTTGAATTAATTTTGTTAGTTGCATATACTTATTCTCCTTTCAGAGGAGTTGGAAGGATTAGCAAGGAATTTGTAAATATCTTTGCTCTCTCTTTCTTTGTGTTGAAAGACATGATTCTGGGAAGAGATGGAGTCTTATCTCAAGAATTTTTTTCTGTAAATTTCCATGAGGAAATCACAACCGTCCCTAATTTTCTCATCTATTGGGAAGTCTCCAAACACCATTGGAGAAGTAACCAGCAATTTAGCCATTTCTGACCAGATTTATTCCAGAACCTCACAGATTTATTTGTACTCTGGTTTATTTCATACCATAACTCAGTTACAATTCTTCATGCAATTCCTTATGAAAGAATTACAAAATTCTGACTACAAAATAGGAAAGAGTCTCTTAGGTTACAGAGATCCAGATGTTTTTCTCAGAAGATTTGGGCATGAGATCAGTCACTCATGTGATGGGCTGTCAGCCATCAATCTCCACACTTCCTGCGAACAGCAGCACCTGGGCAGTTTTACTGCCATGCTCGTAGGTGCACTGGTTTGCCTTGGCAGTGGTGGCATGCTAAATGGAATTCAGAGGGACTGACTGCATTGTTACAGCCACAACAGACACAGGGTTAAGGGTGTGTGTTCTTAACCTTTTACCCTCCAAATTTTTGAAAATTATAGTCATAAAAGGACTTGAAAGTTTGGGTGTTGCAAGCTCTTGCTACCCATGGGTTCAGCATAGGGAGAGTTTTTATTCTGCCCTTCTGTCAGAGAAGGGATTGTGCATATGAGCTAGGTTTCAGTATTGATTAACAGGTGATGTGGAAAGAATCATGTTTGCCTCATGACATGCCTCATGTCATGAGGCAAACATGAAAGAAAGGGAGGGAGGTACCTGTCAGTTGATTTTACTGGAGAGGTTCAGCAACCAAATACATCTCAGCAGAAGTTACCATGGATTAGTATGTACCAGTGTGAAGAGCAAATCTTGCTTTTCTTTTTCAGCTGCCATGTAGATGTACCTGTCACCTTCTTTATCTCCACAGAGTTTTACAGTACCATGAATTCCTTCTCCTTCTTACCTGCTATCCCAGCTTCATTGCAATCTGTCATCATACCTGAAACAATTAGCATGTCACATGCTGAGTTCTCCTACTCATATTGGCTAGAAGACACAGCTGAGATCCAAAATTTTTGAGGCATATGTTGAGGCACAGCCATACAAATCTGGGAGAAATGAGGGTTTCATGGAATCAAAGAACCATAGAATGGTTTGGGTTGGAAGAGACTTTCAAGACATTGTAGTTTCTTCTCTAGTCAGAGGAAGGGACACCTTCCAATAGACCAGGTGGCTCAAAACAGCATCCAAACTGTCCTTGAACACTTCCAGCGAGGAGGGATCTACAATTTCTCTGTAGATACCTGTACCAGTATCTCACCACTCTCACAGTAAAGAATTTCTTCCCAATAGCTAATCTAAATGTACTCTCTTTTAATTTAAAGCCATTCCTCCTTGTCCTGTCACCACATGCCCTTGTAGAATAATCCCTCTTCAGCTTTCCAGTAGCCCCCTTTAGTTAGTGGAGGGTGTTATAAGGTCTCCCTGAACCTTCTCCTCTCCAGACTGAACAATCTCAGTTTTTTCAGCCTTTCCTAGTAGGAGAGGTGCTCCATTCCTCTGATCAACTTGGTGATGTCCTCTGGACTTGCTCCATTAGGCTGATGACCTTCCTTACTTAGGGGGTCCTAGAGCTGTAAGTTCTGTCTGGTTCTCATGTCTGGTCTCATGTCTAATTCCCTTACTAACACCCATTTAAAAATTTGATGAAGCCTTGAGTTGGAGTAACAGGATGCAGAACTTGAAACAGTGTTACAAATTACCTGGGAATCGACCCAAGTCCAAAAATTTTCTTTTACATTTTAGAAGCAAAATGGTGACAGTTGCATTTTACATGTATTCACGGTAGAAGGTCTTTCCTCTATGAGGGTTTTATTTGCAATGTTATCTAACTTGAGTTTTGGGTTGCACACGTGTTAATGCACTCACAATTTGCCTCAGGGGCAAAATGACTAAGATGTGCACCTGAAAAAAAATAGAAGTTGATACAAGACTGATACTAAAATTAAAGAAATAGATTTATAAGCAGGTCAACCCTATAAAATATATCTGACTTGCCAAACCCAGCCTTACAGCTTTTAGAACTCTGTAGGGGACATTTCAGTGAATTTTTTCCTGTTGTGAACCAGATGGGTTGTTGAATAGTGTCAATTTATTGTTTTTCACTTTCAGCTGCTATGCTAACCTCCTTTATAAGAATTGTGTTGGGTGAACACCTCTGGAGAGGAAATAAGAATATTCCTCACTTCAAAAGCAACTGAATGTGCTCAAGGAAATATGGGCCTAGACACTGAGGGGTGCCCTGATACCTGTCTAGACCCAGAGGAATGAGCAGGGAACCTTGATACTGAAGAGAGCAGGATACATCCATAAAGTTCTAAAGGGTAGTCTAATGGTGAAGCAATTGGAAGAAAAATGTCTCAGCAAGTTTATCTCAAAGCTCTGGTAATCTTGAAATACCATCAGATATAGGGCAGCTGAGACTGGTAAGACTTCATCCTTTCAGATCTTCCTCCCATGTTTACAAAAGACAAACCAATTTTTTCACAGAAGAAAGCCTAGTCATCACCACTTATTGCTGGGCCAATGGTGTTAGAGTAATGTTCAGTCATTACTGGATCATAGAGTCACCTAAACCCCTGATGAAGACTTTACATGGTAGGTGCCAGATAGACAATTCACCAAAGCCACTGACCTGGTGAGGCACCTCTAGGAAATATCTGCAGAGGAGGCAGTTTCAGGAGGTAGAAGACTCTAAAAGCTTCCAAACAACTGGAAAAGTTCATCTCTTCACAGCCCACAGCCACGGATTTCTCCTGAAGCTAGACAGAGAAGCAGGGTTTGATGATACCTTTTAGGTTCTGTCTTTCTTCCTTCTCTGTCCAAATATTGACCAGAAGTGTGAAAAAACACTGTTCAACTCTTCTTACTTCACCTGATTTTAACTGACTCTTGAAATAGATATTTGTTTTCCTTAAATGTCTCCTTTTGAATGTTCTCCGCTTTGTTCAGGATATGGAGAATCTTGATGTTGTCCCACCCTGTGCTCTTATTCTCACTTCTGATATTGTGTTGTATTTTGCTTTTCCAGGAAAAGGGTGAAAAACTGGAAAACATTGGTTCTCATCTCTATTTCTTGGCTCTCCTTGCTGCTGTGAAATTAGCATTTCAGTATTAAATACTGATTAACATTATTATTTAAGCTGTGTTTTTTTCCTGATGCAAACACCCACAGTTTGCATGCCTCCTATAAAAATATAACTTCATCACTTCTCCAATGCCACAGCGCATGTGTAGTAAGATTGTGTGAGGGAATTCATGTAATGTTCCTGAATATGTGTGATTAAATATGTCTACCACAGAAGAGTTAACTTTCTCTTTCTCCATGCATATGCTGCTTCTGAGTCTTATGTAGAGTTCCTGAAGTCTGTGTTCATTTTAGCTAAACTGATTTCTGTTTGCCCTGTTTTAGAAATTTGGGTCCAAAAGCTTTGCTGACTACAGAGAATCAGAAAGGAGGAAATTCACTTGTTTATGTTTTCCCTAAAATATTCTTCCCTAAATGACTTGAATAAAGTTACAGAGTTTAATGGCAACAGAAGCAAGGACTCATGGGTACTGTAAATATTCAGTGTTGGCTTGTGTTACCTGATGAGAAGATTCTTCTGGGAATAAACTGTGAGGTAGTCTTTTCATTTGTCTTTGTTCTGGGAGAAAACCAGATGAAACATTTCTCATTTGTTTGCTTTCTGGGTATGTCCACAACTGAATCAGTTTACATATTTGTTTCAATTTTGAGAGTTAAGAAGCTTCTAGTGATCTTTGCAAAATTAAAACTTTTGCCTGATAAAAAATACTTTTAAAATGTATCAAAGAGGT